CTGTAATCATATGACTACTTATACAGAATTTTACTATATTATAGGCCTAGGCTAGGACCAGGCCTTCTACTATAGTATAGACGCCTAGTCCAAGACCTTGTTGCAAATCCCAACCCACATAAGCCTGGCCTATAATGCCTAGCATAGGGCTCGTGATCGCGGTACCCTGACCATTAACAAATAGCAGACGCACTGGGAAGCGTTGTTCACGGAATTGGACTGCAGCGAAAAATGATTCCCCCATCATTAATGGAACAGGCCCACGTCATGCTTGGCTGATTAGTTTTGATTTACATTTCGCAAGTCTAGTGCCATACGCAGCAAAAGTCCGTGTTCTAGTGTTGTTGTAAAATGCATTTCAAACCAGGCTGGTTTTTGATTTACGTTTTGGAATAGAGTTTGGAGAGGGCATTTGATCAAGTTAGACCTACGTTTTGAATTTGAATTACATTTTAAAGAAATTAGAACTACATTTTGGAAAATTTGAACTACGTTTTCAAAAATTAGAAATTCATTTTGGGAAACTAGATCTACATTTTGAGAAATTTACGCCTACGTTTTGATAAATCAGACATTGAATTTTGCAATTACATTTTGATTTTAACATGGACTTTTGCTGCGTATGGCACCTCATACAAATATGGCCCTATATCATTTCCCTGCTACGAAAACATGTTCAGTTTGAACTCAAATTACGTTTCTGTACGAAACTGTAAGAAAATGAGACATAAAGAACATGATAGTTAACAAGTTGCATAAACTATTTGTCCTAGTTATAAAATGGAGATACGTGCGGAAAATATAAAATATAAGCTTTAAAACTTATCAAAAACCCATGAAAATTACAAATGACGGTGTACGAACAAACACATATAGCTCCACTTCAAATAATCGTAACTTTTTAACGAAAATGCGAATTTTTATGCGGTTTTTTTGTAAATTATTCTTCGTAAAACTCACTTGAGATGCAAATTTATTGAACATCGAAAATTGAATTTTAAAAAAAAAACTCTGCGCCTGCTCTACTGGTCGTTTGTCACGAAATTATTTTCTCTACAAAGACAAAATTTTAACAACTGAGGGCGCAAGATTGTCGGAAAAGTACCCTATTGACAAAAGACAGGCAGTTAGTCACGGTTCTCTTTGAAGATTCAGTACACCGCGCTAGCTTCGCTCATTGGCTGTAGATAAGTAGATAAATGTGTTGTGACTCCTTCTAAATAACAACTCCCTGCTCCGAACTTTATTCATTTGGCCTACATAATAGTTTCATATTGCTGTACTCCAACATCACTGGCGCATGGTAACAACCAACTGATGCAGACCATTTCCGGTCACACATTACTCTCCATAACACAGCACCCCCTAGTTCCGTCACCTCTGGGTTCTAGTTTTTTCTCTATACTCTTTGGTTCTAGCTTGGTTCTAGTTTTGCCGTTTTGCTTACCTATAACATAGAGGGCGTTTGTCCTCGACATCATGTTTATAAATATTAATGATGTGTACTGTAATGATTGTTGTGAGTTGGAACATCATGGTTGGAAGTATCCGTGTTGTCAGAAAGTCATTAGAAGACAGATCATGGTCAGATCCTGAATTTATTCGTAGATAGAGGCCAGGATCGTTAATAAGTTTAATCAATCATTTTGTTGTTGCAATAGTAGTAAATCATAAAGGTTAGTGAAATAAGGACTTGTTGACTAGCCTAGCTAGGCCTATGCTTTACCTAGGCCTATAGGCCTAGCGGCTAGCCTAGAGTAGAGGGCTGTTGCTAGTTTGGCCTACTGTAGACACAGCACAACTCTCAGTTAATTTCCCTATTCTTCTGTTTACCTTTGCAATTTTACTTTTGTTCACTTATAATATTGTTATTTAATTAGTAAGTTTGGACGCACCGCTGATTAGTGTGTGCCACTACTGTAAAAATGTGTGTGTGTGCCAATAAAAACTGAAACTGAAACTAAACTGAGTCACAAGTGGAACGTGAAATTTCGATGCTTTTGTAGCCAGATTTGCGAGAAAAAATTTCAGTTACACGTATTTCTCGACTGACGTCAGTGGTATCTGTAGTTTGTAATTTGTAAATTGTATGGCAATAATGGTGCATGCCCTTAATAATTTGTACAAGGGAATTTATGCACTTGTCAATTGTAGTCCATGCCCCCTTCCGGCCCTCCATCTGCAGATTTTTTAAAACGGTTACATGCATATGAAAGTCCTGTCCTCCTCCCGGCAATGCAGTACATCGTTTTAAAGTACATCCCCGGCTAAGTCCCCACCAATACCGCCATACACACCCCAAACCACAGCTCTAATGTATAAAATTCCTGGGCCATCCAAGGCCTGTTACATCTACAGGTAAATTTTATGTACGTCCCGGGTACATCCCCGGCTCAGTCCCAGCTAGTGCCTCGCTATGGCCCAGGTTGGGGGAGGGAGGAGGGGGACTACAATTGACAATGTGCATTACGCCCACAAACCTTGTAGGCCTAGTAATTAATATTTCCCTGTGTGCTTTTTTCATGGATAAATAAACACCACTGCTTTGCACATGGATGCCTTGCCTTAGCTAACCAGTTGCGTGTATTTCTTTGTGAAAATGAGTACCCGCACATACTTATTTTCACAAAGCATTTGCATCCCCTCTTGGAAAGAGGGAACTTCGAAATAATTGTCTCCATATCTTCGCTAATTAATTATCATAATTTAGCTTATACTTATGCATGGAGGGAGCACTTAAAATGTACAATAATAATTTCACTTGCAGATAAATCTGGCCCCAGTTATTTATTATGCTCTTAAATCTATTTAAATCCTGATTTTTTTTTTCTCTTTTTCAGAGGATTCGTTTCATAGTACCTGAATCAGAAATGTCAGATTTTTTCAAAGGTTACCAATTTGCACTTGAGCTTGACTATAGCATCCGCTATAAACAGAAGCAAGAACTGAAAAAGAAAGTAACCAACAATGGTGGAACAATATCATATATTTTGACGAAAAAGGTAAAATGTAGAAAAGAATTATAATGGGGCCTGTACGGAGCGTAAAATATACTCCGTATTCCATGTAATTCTCTGGTACTACTTTTTCCGGCACTGCTCAAACACTTGTATTTGTGCTTTGCTATCTGGGTATCTTAGCAAGTACTGGACTTGAGAAAAACGATATTGGCAAGGGGGAGGGGGGTCAATAAATAATGTTAATTAATTTGTCCAGGCCTCTTAAAAGGAATGTACAGTACACAATTTCATTGGCTGCTTCATCAATTGGGGACTTTATTATATAATATATTAATAATAATAATAATAGTAATTTTGGCTTATATACATGTAGCGCATGATGCTAAAGCCTCAATGCGCTTAACAATAATCATAATGTATTAAGGTAATCTTTATTATATATATCTTTATTATCAAGATCTCAGTACCTAATTGTGTAATTTTTGTATACAATTTCCTACCTTTTAAGACCAACTTCCTGGTAGTAAGTAATATCAACCAGGCTGATTCGACATATAAAGGTCGAACCGCGCAAAAGAATGGAACACCAATTGTGACTATTGAGTTTATCAACCAGTGTGATAAGCAACAGCGAGTTGTTGATGCAACTGATTACCTTGCCACTAGTAGCAAGCAATTGTCAGAATTTGAAGCAGGAAAAATAAAAGGTAACTAATTCTAATCAGCATGTTTCATATTAAACATTTTTCTAATGCCATGACTGTTCTACAAACTTTAAAATTTTAAGTGACAAATTTGTGATATGCCCATATCACCCAAACAGATTAACAGAGTTTTAACTTGAAGAGTTACTATACTGTTTATAATAATAATAATAATGATAATAATAATAATAATGATAATAATAATAATAATAATAATAATAATAATAATATTAAATAATAATAATAATGTATAGATGTAATTTTTTTTTGACGTCAGGTAGGGCAAAATTACATCTATACATGTTTCTCCTGACGCAAATCTAGTTATTGTCTATTATTCCATCACAAAAATAACAAATACTATCAATAATAATAATAATAATAATAATATATTTTTTCATTATCATTACCATTTTATAATCTTTTATGACTTTGTTTTTATTGTTACTACTTTTATTACTTTTACAATTACTATTGCTACTCTACTTTTTCACTAACTTTAATTTTTATGCTATAGCTAAGAATCCTCCAAAGAAAATTAGCGCCTTGAAGACGTCTTCATTCAATGTGAATGCGATACGGTATGTTGTATTCAGTTTTTCTGTTATTTCCAAGCAATAGCTTTTTCATACCTTAAACTTACAATCATTATGCCGTAAAGAAAATGGGTGTTATTTTTTTTGAAAATTACTGGCATTTTAAAAGTTTGTACCCTAGGTTTGGAGAGAAATTCGGCATCGATAAGACAGTTGTGCCATCATCATTTAGACAATATTTTCGTGCATTAAATATACCATTTTGAATGTATCTATCAGATATCTAGTGTACAGCAGAATTTTAAAGAATTTCACAAATTTGTATACTGTACTATATTATATATGCTCACTGTATAGGTTAAATATGTATTTATTGTACTTTACTCCAAGATAGAGATGGCAGGTTGTAAAGGAAAAATTCCTATTCCCATTAGGAATCAAATGCCATTTACATATTCTGAACACATTAGTATCATTATTTAGCAAGATTCTTAACAATGATTATAAATATAATACAATTTATAAGATTCAAGATAATTGTTTAATATTTACATATTACACTCAGGTAGACACATTTCATGTGCTTTATACTCTGTGTTATTAAATAAATTGAACCTTAAACTTTGACTATACTAATTGCTTTTTATTGAATATCACTATCATATAGTTGTGTTTACTGTAGATAAATTCAGTACCATTTCTGTCTTTGGAACTCTCACCTAAAAGTGTCTCTATAGCCATTTTCAGACAGAGGTTCCATCCAGCAATATTGCGGTAAAAAAATACTGTTACATTTAACGATATAATCATTCATTCCAACCAATATTGCGGTAATTATTGTTGTAATATAAACGCCTTTTCTACGAATACGTACTCGCAGTATGCCATTGGTAATTGGTGTAAGCAAGAGTAAGATTGCCTGCTAGGTCTAGACACCTACTGTACACATTATATCAATATTTCCAAGTATTTCAGTTAGCTGTGTTTTGCTGTACGCAGAGTCACCACCCCTACCCCGAATAATATGTAATTGAGTCTTAAGGATAATAGGGGCAATTTTATTATTTTGTAGCTCATTTATAATCTAATTATCTTGAACATTGGAAAATTTCTTAAATCTGTCAAATTTACCATTATGCTAACAATTCTGTTCTACCTTTTCTCAACATTTGTCCAATTCGCTATTTTTCTTAAGACTGAGTAAAGTAATATTATGTGACCCTCTTTTGACACACGCCGGAACACAGCTTAACAGCAATATTGCGATAATACGTCTTAGATGGAACATTGCATAACCCCAGTATTGCAGCTGCAGTTAGCCCTGACTTACATGTATCAGAAAGCAATGACAGGATATTTCCCGCAATATTGCGGTAACATAGCTCTCCATGAAATGGCTTATGGTTCTGCCTTTAGACTTTGTCATGCTATGTGTCCTGTCATGCCGAAACCTCTCTGTGAAATGGACGCCCTTATTTATATTTACATCTCCTAAAATAATTTAAAACAATCAATCCATTATTCTCCATCCTCCTCTCAATTTAAATCACTTCCGAAAACTCACCTTTTCAATAGCTATTACATCGCGCTCCGAGACTTCAGTAATGAGAACTTTAAAAATGCTCTGATTGTTCTTATTTTTTTTTAATAATAATTCCGAATTTACATTTCTGTACTTCCACATTTTACAAATTAACCAAAAAGTGTTTTATTTATCAGAGTCTGGACATGGGGTGACAACAAAGCTCCTGACTTTGATGAAGACAGTTATGAAGTTGCTAAGAGCTCTCTCCTATTGGTGAGTTCGAATCACATAAATTTTGCATTTGATCTTTATTACAGCATCATTAATGGAGTCTTGAGTACCGACGATGCGGTGCTGCCTGATGATTGTCGGTAGCAGTCTGAAAGGTTGTCTTTGAAATGATCTGTTACCCACGTGTCATAGCGTTTCTCCGTAGAATTGCGTTGGCCAATGACCATTGGTCTCAACAAGTGGATAGATTTATTCGGCGTAAATACTAAGGATAACCCACAATTCATTCATTCATTCATTCCTTCATTCGTTCGTTCAATCATTCATTCATTCATGCATTCATTCATTCATGCATTCATTCATTCATTCATTAATTCATTCATTCAATCAATCATTTATCTCTGTTTTAAAGTTTCCAATATATTTATTTTTGTTTACTTTATCATTTTGTTAACAGAGTTCATCAAAACCTAATCGTGATGAACTGTTTTACCAAATCGAGCTTCATGTTTTGCCGATTGCCAACCAGACAGCTGTAAATGAAGAACAATACTGCTTCAGAGTATTCAGTCACCATGGAAATTGCAAGAAAGTCAAGGTACATTTATGGAACATTTTGTTTTTAGAATTGCTTTTTAGTTCATGCAGCTTTGAACATTTTAGGCCCTCGGAGTTCTGTTGCTTCTAATAGTGTTGTTGCTGCTGTTCTTGCAACAGACTTAGAGGCATATCTAGGGGTATTTAATTGAAGCAGTAAGAAGTGAGGGGCTTGATGATGAAGTGAGGGGGCATTAGCTGGCAGAATCTGTTTTATTATCAAATTTGTATGTTGTTATTGTATATGGAATCCCATTTTAATGTTTATCGCGTACTTTGACTTTTTTACACTTCTGTAACATAAATTGTTTTGATGCCTTTTAGTCTGTATTTTAGTGTTTTATATCTATATATTTAAAGTTTTACCATATATAATCGTTGTACCTGTTTATATAGGACCCCCCATTCAAATTAAGTTTTACTTTTTAAAGAAAACTTTCATGGGCCATCCATGCATCATCCTTTATTGTTATTTGTTTGTCCTGCCTTGAGTGAATTTTTTCTGTTTTGTAAAATATTGATAATGTGAAATAAACTTAAAACTTTACTGAAAAAATAAAAGATTGTATGAGGTGATTTTTAACTACTGTTAAATTGTAATATTTTTTGCTTCTAAAATTTCTAATTAAGTGAGACTGGGGAGGTTTCTTGAGAGGGCCTCACCCCCCTCTCCACTCGTCTCTTATACACATCT